GCTTTTAAAATAATCCTACTTGGAGTCTTTTTCTCATGCTGAAGCTCTGAATGATGCACATGCATCCTAGAACACTAGGAGGAGAGTTTTAATTCATTCCTGCTTTCATAGGTACAGGGAGATGCCCAATGACAAATTTCAGTAAGCACAGAGGCCATCCTTTTACATCACGTACTCAGCAGTTGTGTACAAGCTCCTTAATAACTGAATTGGTAGCAAGCCTTATTTTTTTTAACTTCTTTCCCTCTAAAAATCTTGAAAAAATAGCATTGTGAGAGCCACAGGCTAATTGTATTTCTGATGGATGTGTTTTCATTACAACATTTTTATTGAAACTTACTGGAATGAAACACAGGCCTATTTAACAACTGTAATTTATCCAAGTCCAAGATGTCAAAAGACTGAATGACCACAATCCACTCCACAAGAGGGCAGGGGAGGGAAACACAGGCTGCCACCTCTTGGCTTTGTGGACTATTGCTCCAAATAGTTACGACCAGAAATTATCAGAAGGGATGATGCCACCACTGACCCAGTCTCCCAAAGCAGGCAAAACAGACATTTCAACTCCTGAATCTGCACTCCACACTTACCAGCCCTCAAAGCTACCAGAAATTTCTTATTAATAAGGAATAATGGCATATCAACTTGCAGTGGAAAAAATGACAAAGTTCCCTGTTAACGATCATGCCTTTCAACAGTTCATTCCAATTTTATAACAAGCAATTTTATTACAGCTAAGCATAAAATTCAACAATTTCAAATGGAATTGTTACAAGACAACTCAAAATTTTGACTTTGCCTCTTCTGGGAGGTGGCTGGAGTGAAAAAAGACGATGAGCCAACTGGCACAGTAGCGAAGTCAACCTGCAATTAAACTTACAAACCATATATCTTCCCCTAAAACTTTTCTTTAGATCTTCTGTCTAGAAGAGAAATAATGTAAGACCAGCTGCTGATGTGAGGAGTCTTTGCCACGGAAAGGCTTTAGTATAAGCCCTGACCCAACTAATACTAATCACTGCATGCAGGTCAGTGGCAATGGCCATAGCTTTTTTGGGGGGGTTGGTCTACACACCTCCATGTATTTGCATGTGTTCTTTCCTGCTTAATAGACGCTAAAGATTCCCTACCGCTTCAAACAGTGAAACGGCAAGAATTCAACTTGCTCATTCCCATGGCACCCCAATAGTTTGTTCCAGAGTAAGGAAACTTGACTGGGAGACGCAGCTCACTGCAGCCCCTGCCCCGCCACTCACCCGAGACCCTGGCGTGGAGGTTCTGCTTCAGGCTGAGCCGTGCTGGGTCCGCGGTGTCCTGCAGCGCTGCCAGGGCAGCCCGGCGCAGCGCGCTGTCGAAAATCGGGAGCACCTCGCTGGGGAAGGCGTTGAAATACTCCCCGATCTCCATGTTGGTCTCAAAGAGCGTCAAGGCATCGACGACGACGGGGTAGTGCGCCTGGTCGTCCGCCTCCCTCAGGATGCCCAGGATGTCGTCCCTGTGGTGCTCCAGCACGTAGGACTCGAACACCTGCCCGATGAGGGCCACCTGGTCCGCGCTCAGCACCATGTTGCGCCTACACGGGGGCGAGGTGAGGGGAGGAGGTTACACGGCGAGGCTTCCCGGTGCGGGCACGCGCCGAGCGGGAAACTTTATCTTTCTCTCGGGGAAGCCCATGGCGGAGCCGGGCGGGAGCGGGGCGCGGCTCAGGAGCTCGGGCAGCGGCACCTCGTTACAGCGGCACCTCCGACCCGCTGCTGCCCGGCACGGCACCAGCGCCGCGCCGGCTCCGGAGCCGGGACGAACCGCCTGCAGTCCCTCACTGCCGGCTCCGCCAACTCGCCAGCCCGCCCCGCCCCCTCAGAGGGTCACGCCCGCCCGCCGGGGGCAGGCGGAGGGCGGCGGGGAGCGGGCGGGAGCGGCGGGAGCGGGCGGGAGCGGCGGGCGGGAGCCGGGGCGGGGGGCGCTCCGCCCGTGAATGCCACAAAGCGAAAAGCTCGAAGGCACCCCGTTCCGTCGCTCTGTGGGCGGTGACAGGAGGAGGAAAGCAGCAGGCGTGTCCGCTCCGCCCCACCGGCGGCAGGGCGGGGTTCTCCGCAGCGGCGCAGTCGGCCGCCGCCAGGACAGCAGGTTTAGAGCGGTGGCGAGGCAGGGGTGGGCCGGACCGGGCCAGCAGCACGCTGCCTCCCCGCCCGCCTGGAAGCTGCCCCAAGCGCGTCCCGTGCTGCGGGGCGCGCCCGAGCTCACCCCCGTGCCCGCGCCCGCCGGGTAGGCGGGCAGAGCTCTTGCGCCGCCCCCGCTCCCGCTCGGTACCTGCAGCGGGCGCCGCCGCCCCTCCGGCCGGGTTCCCGCCACCGCAGCTCCCTCACCGGGGAAGCGCGCTCCGTCCCCGCCCCCTCGCGGCCGCCACGGGCGGGCCCGGGGCGCTTCCCTCGGGTGGCCTCAGCGGCGGCGGGGAAACCGGCCCTGCCGGAGCAGCTGAGGGGCGGTGGGCCGGGCTCCGCGCCAGTCAGCGCTCCGTGGGCTCGGGGGGGGAACACTGCAGCTGCTCGGCCTCTCGGGAAGAACAGATCCACCTACGGGTTCTCCTTCCAGTATTGCCGCACTTTGTTGTTTGCCTAAATATCTCTGTTCCCTCGCTGCAAAGAGGCGCCGCTCCTGTGTACAGGGGCGGAAGGGGGGACTGTACGGCAGGGGCAGCCCCCAGGCAGCTGGAGCTGCTTTTTACAAGTCCTCCCCCGCGGTTTGCAGGCACCACAGAGTCTAAATTGGACTTCTGAAAAAGCGGACTGCATAACAAACCAGCCATTTCTCCCTCCCTCGAAGTCTGAGGAGTTTAGGGATTATAGTGTTAATATAACCAGAAAATAGGGTGTCCTGGAGGCTCTAAAGCTTTCGCTTTTGCCCAGTGTTGTTTTGAAAATTTCCTACCTCTGTGTTCTCCCCCCGCATCGTGTATAGTGACGCAGTGACATGCTTTAGCTATTTGAAATATTTTGTCTTTTAATTGATTCTATTTCAAAATTGTGTTCCAGGCATAAGGAGTGAAACCGGTTCCCAGTTTCTCCAGCAGCATGTCTGTTTCCTCCAGTTACTTTGCAGCACGTGTGCACACTTCTAACAACTCTGTGCTTGCATGTTTGAGTTCTGTCCTCATTGGGTTCAGTGTAAGTAGACTGTCTTCTAAATTACTACATGTATTTTCTTGGTACCTCTGACAATACGTTTGAGTATCGTTCTCATGCATCCATTCAAGTCTTGCAACATCACAGAGCATAACTTAATCTGCGTAACTTCAAAGTGTTGAAGAATCCTAAAAGTTCTCCACTGAGTTCCTCAGTCCCAGGACCTCCCACTGTTGGCCTGTATTAATGGTGAATTATTGATAGGCAATCAAAACAAAAATCACTGCTCATTTAGAACACTTTTTGTTTTAAGATATTACAATATCACCAACATATGCTCTCTAATAAATGTACACAATTTGTATTTTAATACAAATTTTTAGGGTTGGTGGAGAGGAAAATCAACACTTTTCAACCAACCAACCGCAACAACAACAACAGCCCTCCCCAAACCCCAATAAACTTTAGATCCCTTATTTTCATGTTATGATGTATGACTTCAATGTGTAAAGTAACTGCCTTACCAGCCCTAATAAAACTAAGTTAATAAATTTGAATGTCTAACATGTTTTTTTTTTCTCCAAGTCATATTTGAATGTGTTATCTTAATGAATAAGAAAGCTGCAGTGGTTCACCTCTTGACTATATTGAATATCTCACTATCCATGAGTTCATCCTCGTGTGGAACTTTACAGGTGCTTTAAGTTACAGATCATATTTCTCTGAATTGCTACTTCACAAGCTATTGGAAGAGGATTTCTGCATCTAACTCCTGCTGGATGAACCCCTGGATGGAACTTCAGTTACCTCTCCTGCATTGTTTGCAAATATATTCTTCTTCAGGCTATCTGTAGATGTTTCCTAAACCCTTACCTGAAGGAAATAGTGTTTACAGTAAAAGTCAAAAACTGCTTCAGGTGGTTATAAAGAGGAAATGTTTTAACTCCTAGGTATGTCTCTAGAAGAAAAATACATTGTGCTTTATAAAATGGTCCTGTTGTATCAAATTTCATAGATTATGGTTGCAAAAGCACTGCTGAGATCTGCACTTAATATATAAATTGATCACTGTGAAAATTCAAAACAAGCCCTGTCTCCAGTATATGCTTTCAGTATCAGCTTTACTCGGTTTATAGTGCTGTCTTGCAAGGTAGAAAGCCTGGCTGCTTTTTTTCTAAAGATGAGACACAGTTATTACTGCATGTTTGTTAGCACAGTTACTTGGCTTCTGGTATGGCAGAGGCGTCATCTTTGTGATTCACTGGAGGAGGTGTCCATGTGTGCTTCCTCAGACTGCGCTTTGTAGCTTAAACAACTAGAGTAGTATGAAAAACAGTGCAGCAGCCTGCAACTGGGGCAGCTGATTTTTATAACTACAGAGCAAGTAGCTGATGTTGGTACGTAAAGGCTGCGATTAGGTAGTGGTTCCTACAAAAAAACCCCGAAAGTTATTTATCATCCTGTTATTATCTAATAATAACCAGTAACTGGTATGTGTTTAGCTGAATAATGAAGAAATGTTTACTCAGCAAGAAGTCATCCAAAAATATATTATGCCCATTTGAAAATCCATGAGTAGCCTCTTTTGAAATCATGGTGTAAAATAGGACAGGAAAAAGTAATTGTTTCAAACAAGTGGATGGAGAAGTGCCGGCAGTCACCGGCTTGAAAAGCTCTCTTGTTCTGAGCTCGGAATGCTTCCCTGGTTTGTCTCTGCTTTCCGCTTGGAATGGCTCTCCTGCATAAATCCGTATCACGTTTTTGCTTTCAGGTCACTTCTGATAGTCTTGTGCAGTAATAAAGAAAGAGACAAAGACTTAAAAGTCCTCTGTTTATCAGTTTTACAGAACATAGTGTGTGCCCTATGGGTATGGGTATGTCCCAGGAGAGTACAAGAACTGCCCATAATACTATGGCTGGTGTGGCTGGTACACATCTCATTTGTGTGCAATTGGGGCAGTACCAGTAAGGCTGCACAAGAGCTGAGAAGGGCTCATGGATGCCACAGGTAAGGTAAAGATTCAGTCTAAGCAGTGTGAATATGTTTGGATGTTCACGTAGCTGTAAAACTTGGGCTTCAGGCTCTGTGTCTCTTACCAGCCATGGGTGAGACTGCCTGTGGTGGTTCAGTCAGCCTGAAGTGTGCTGATTCTGCTTTGTGCCCAGCCATCACACAGATAATCTATGACTGAAGTTAAACTGCTGTAGTTCCAGGTAAAGAATCAGCCACTCTCTAAACTTTTCTGTTCATGTGTCAGGTTGACTGTGGAAGGCCTGCTAAGGTCAGAGAGAACTCACTGTTGTAATGAAGCCAGATTTTGGTAGTCATTATTGAATTATGCTTTTATTTTCTTAAGCTTAACTCTTCATGTTCCCCAGCAACACTGCTATCAGTGCCACTGGCAGCAGCTACTTCTCGTTGTGTTCAACCAGCTGTTGTGAACAGACCACTACACTGTGCTCAACTCTGTCTGCCTTAGTGACAGACAATTTACAAACTCATCCTTAAGACCCTGCAGGACTCCATAGTGGATCAGTAGTTCACCTCATTAGGTCCCACCATTAACCTGGGAACTTGCAGTGCAATTTGTGCAGTCAGCAAAGCTTGAGTTATCTAATAGTGTATGTGCTTGAAAATTAGAAATGTTAACACAGTTGTGCAGTAGAAAAGCCCAGTGTTGAACCCAGCAAATAACAAGTTCTATTAAAACAAGAAATGGAGTTCAGCAGTTGGTCAGACAAAGAGCAAAACTTGTTTCAGCTTGGCTGCCTGGTTTTGTTACACTGTCCAGTACTATCCACAGGTGCAATTACTGTGATGTATCCTAAGAAATGGATGTTTATTTACATGACACAAATACGCTGCAAAGTAAATAATTTTTAGAACTGCAAGCTGATTTCTGTATATTGTATATGTATATTGTACATGTTAATTAGTTACTTCCATTTAAAGATTTTGCCAGGAAATGTGTGCAGAAATAAAACTGATACAATGCCCAACACCCAAAAGTAGCTAAACAACAATACTACAAATTTTCACTGTAGTAAAAAAAAAAAATAATAGCATTTGCCTATGGAGATCATGAGAAAAACAGAAGTGAAAATTTATTTAGACTAAAATGTTAAAAACTCAACGCTATGGACTCATGTAATTTATATCCAGTGCTTCTCTTAGGGACTAGTGTTTTCCTTGAAGTCTGAGGTAAATGTAGTACACACATGCTGAAGTAACTGAAACAATGCAAAGGGAAGCCAGTCAATATGATAAAGTGATTTCCACGTTGGTGCTGATTGCAGCTTGGTTTTCAACAATCTTTGGGATTTTTTTCCCCCCAAGTATACATTCTGGGTAGAATTCCTGCAGCAGAAAAAAAGCCATGCAGTTCTTGGGACATAATTCTTCCCTGTGCTATGAGATTGTGGCAGAAGGGTTGGCTAGAGGAGTTTTCTGCTGAACTGGAAAATTCACTGGCATTCAAACTCTTATCACAGATGTACATGGAACAATCTAGACCATGACAAACCCGCTCTTAAGACTGATTTTTACAATGATGTTCTGATGAAATGTAGAAATCTTCTGCATTTTGCCCCTGTATCAAGTACAGCCTATTCTTTCTTCCATAGGAAAAGACAGTAAAGATTGAAATATTGCATCCTTGTTTCCTCTTTGACCTTTTATTGTTCTTTCTGAATAGAATTAAAGGGTCATGGGAATTAGTTACACTAAGTGTTGGTAATGAGATTTGATGTGTCGGAATGCAGAGAGATAGTTCCTGAGAGCCAAAAGACTTTCCCACTGTTGTAACTAATACTATGCCACATTATGCTAACTCTGTACCTCCTTACTCAGAGTTGTCTGTTGAGCTTGGAAATGCTGCACACATGTGTGAGCAGAGACTTTGCAGAATTGTCTGCACAACTGACTGGACTCACGAATATGCACACTTCTAGGTTTTTCCAGAATACCACATACTGCAAAGATCAGGAGCACAATAGCATAGTGATCATCCAAGTTACTGTATTAATCCCAAAATCCAAATATTACCTTCTTTTAGGAATACATTTTACAGACTTCTCAATGCCATTTGGTAGAAAATAAATTTTTTCCAAATTTATTCTTTTTTTGTTTGTTTGTTTGTTTGTTTGTTATTTGGTTTTTTGTTTTTTGTGGTTTTTTTTGGTTTGGTTTGGTTTGGTTTTGGGTTTTTTGTTGGTTTTTTGTGGGGTTTTTTTGGTTTTTGGGGAGTTTTTTTGGTTGTGTTTTTTTTTGTTTGTTTTGTTTTTTGTTTTGGTTTTTTGTTTGTTTGGTTTTGGTTTTGGTTTGAATAGACTGATTTGGCAGTGGTACAGCTGCTGACTGTGGCAGACACGGTAACTGTGTCCTTCTTAACTTTCTTTTCTTTTCTAGTAAAAAAACAATGGGCACAGCTTTTACTGAATAAGTAAATGTAGATATTATCATCTTTGTATTAGTGTTCAGTTATTCATTCCATAAGTACAAATGCACAAATGAAGTGGAGGACAGGAGAAAAAGGTTGATCCCTTGCAAAGCATGCAAGAAAAAATACGCGACACTCACTTCAGAACATTGTAACAAAATGATCTAGTGAATTTTATTTTGGGTAACAGCCAAGAAATCTGACATTTTGCCCAATATGGCTTTCTTCTAAAATTAAAAAGTTGCATATACCTACAGTTGAGTCCACCAGCTACCGAAAATCTGCTGTATACATCTTTAATCCATGGCAGCATCACCAGAATACAGCTTTCAGTGGCGTTTTCAAGCTGAATTATAAGATAGAAGTTTTTAAATGTGCATTTAGAAGATTTTTATATTATTTATATGAAAACATACAAATTTTTCATTTATACATATACTACATATAAAACTCATTTTAATTAGCAAGTATCTTCATCTGGGTATTTATCTTTGTGCATATAGCAAAAAAAGGATGTAGTCAGGGCTTCAGATGAAATATTAAAGTTCAAGACCTTTGTATATGCTAACTAGAACCTTATTCAAATAACTCAAACTTTTTTTTCTTGCTTTTAAAAGATAAGAGATTCAGCTTAAAAATACATTCATAAAACAAAGACAATGTTCTCCCTGAGACTACCAGTGTGAGTTACTTTGTGGTAATCTTTGAATGAAAAAATATAAAAAAGACAATAAGCTCTGGTTTTCTATATGCTACAACAAATTTCTCGAGCAACACTGACATCATAAAAGGTACAGACTGGAGAATCATGCTCACTAGCTGAAAAAACATTTTCATATATCAGATTAAGAAGAAGAAAAGAAATTAATATAGACAAAGGAAGGTGACTAATTTTTAAGGAAACATCTGTACTGTAGTATGAATAAATGGGAAAAAGTTGGGTCGTTGCTTTTGATTGTTTGTTTGGGACTTTCTTTTTTTATTTCAGACATGAATTTTATCCAAAGCAGGACTATATGCCCAAAATGTAGATTCTTGATTTATGCAGAGATACTTAGCAGAGTTTTCTAAATATATCGAGCATTTGTTTTTGTTAATATTCATAAAAGAAATATAGAACGTGTGAAAACAGTTTCTGTTTAAATTCAGTGATAAAATATTTGATTATAATGAGATGGCAAAGCCTCATGAGCAATAAGTGAGGAGTCAACCCCCAACCCCAGTGAACAGCTCCTGGTTTGTGGCTTTTTTCATCCTCTATCAGAATGACTCTGCTTTGAAGGCCAGCAGCTACGCTAGTTTTATTTAGCATTCTTCCTTTTAAACGTTAGAGACAATTTTAAACTGCTACAAAGTAACAGAATTGGGATGCATTAAACATATCCTGCTCAAATCTGAGAGAGAGTGCAAGATACATACCTTTTCCTTTTACAATTTAAGTTGTATTTATAGTAACCATGCAATTATGTTATTCAGGGGGAAAAGCCTTACCTGAAATCAAAGAAAGCATTTATAGGAAAAAGGGGGAAAGCATTGTTTGTTCTACCAAAATTTATTATGTAGTAATTACAAAGTTTAAAGATTCTTCCATTTTAAATAAAAATAATAGTTATAATTACACATATTGTATAGTATCATGTCAAGTGATTTCAACAAATATAACATGAAATACAGTGCAGTTTCAAATCAGAAAGACAATTACTTTCTCATTCACAGTGTTTGACAAATTACAGGATAGCTTGTTCACATGAGGGTTTACTTAAGGTCATGCTCTTATAAACAGTCCACATCACGCTGTGCCACAAAAAGAAATCATCTCTCAGAACGTGAAGTATCGGGCAAACCACTCCTGGCGTTGTGGATCTGGTGAAGCCACTGGTGAGGCATCAGTCGGAGGAGGGCTAAATTCACAGAAAGAAAAAAACCACAATTATCCCACAACTACACAAAAGGTACAACTATTAGGAGAAAAAAAAGAATCACAGAGAATATTCAGTAAGGAACACAGTCTGTTTTTCCATGGATTAATTATCAGTGTGCCCCAGGACATGATTTAATGTCTGCCTATAGAATCTGTGATCATCCACTCCATTGGAGAGCATCAGCAGCACAGACAAGTCAGTTCAGAAACCACATTAGAGACTGGGCAAAGAATGTTTTGGAAAACATAATTTAGAATCTCATAAATAACTGTAGGTTTTCAGGAAGAATAAAAAGAGTTTTCTTGGAAAAGCGTGACTGTAGAGGGTCCTCTTTTAGCATCCTTTTCCTGTGGTAAAGTTAATTTTGAAAAATATGATGCGAGCATCATATTTGTAGACATGTGCTCACAAAGACTGGCTGGCAACTGAACAGAAATACACACTATTTTAATAGTTAACACCGATCATGAATATCACTTGCATTGTTGCTCATGCACACAATTAGAATATGCTCATATACTAGGAAAAAGAAACTACTGTGCTACAAACAGGATTTGGTTTCTCTTTTAACATTCTCACAAAATGAGCAGGAGAGAATAATTTATAGTAGTTTACACAATTAAATTTCCTTTATCAATAAAAATTGG